CAATGGTTGTAAAGGCAACCTCTGACATGGTGCCATTAACCCTCACACACTGTGACCGAGGTGTTAGGAAGTCCAACAACCATCCAACCAAATTAAAATCAAGATTAAAATCTGAAATCAGTCGCTGTGCGAGTAAAAAGGGCTGGATTGTGTTAAAAGCAGACGTAAAATCCACAAATAAAAGCCTGGCATGAGTCTTTACTTTATCCAAATGGCAAGAAATAAAGTGCATTAGTGTGATCACGGCGTCATCAACACCTCTCCCTGACCTATATGCAAATTGCAGGGGGTCTAACTTATCCTCAACTTGCAGAAGAATGGCCTCTTTAATTATTTTTTCGAGGTTTTTCATTACCAACAAGGTCAATGCAACAGGCCGGAAATCGTTCAAAGATTTTGGGGTGTTGGTTTTGGCAACTGGTACAATTGTTGAGTGTTTCCAAATTTTGGGGACTTTTTGTTGAATCAGGGACAAGTTAAAAATATGCTGAAATACATCCGACCCAGGATGCCCTGCATTAGAGCCCTCTTCCTTCTCTCCAGCACAGCTCCCACAGAGTCAACACTTCTCCCCATCACAGAGACACATTTCCTGATCAGCCTGTCGAGCCGGTTTCTATCTCTCGAGGTCAGACTGCCGCCCCAACACGCAACCCCGAAGAACACGGCACTAGCTACCACATACTGGTAAAAAACGTGCAACATTTGACTGCTCACATCAAAGGACCTCAGTCTACTGAGAAATAAAAGTCTGCTCTGAGCTGTCTTGTAGATGGCATTGGCCTGAGCTGACCAGTCCAGTCTGTGGTCCAGGTGGAGTCCCAGATATTTATAGGAGTGAACCACTTCGATGTCCTGCCCATTTACTGTGACCGGTCGATGGGAAGGGCTCCTGTAAAAGTTGATGATCATCTCCTTGGTCTTGGACGCAATGAGAATCAGTCCATTTCTCTCATTCCAGTCTGAGAAGGTAGCCACCACCTCCCTGTACTCTGCTTCATCCCCTCCTTCACACATGCCACAACAGCATCACCAGAATGATTGACAATTAGGAGGACCACTAGTCTTGATGATCCACCGAAAGTAAAAAATCCTCCCATGTACCTTGTATGCTTTCCCTATGTAATATAATACAACTTTCTTCAATCATGTATTCTCACTGTGCTGACTGATGACTCAGGGTTACCCACTGTTATGTCTGAACCGCTTCAAACTTGAAAGTACTTATGTAACTGATACAATGGCCCTCCTGATATCCATCTAAATATGACTCTTGACGCACAGAGATCATGTTCTGCTCTGGGGGCCCTGTGACTGCGGCGGGGCCACAGTGGGCTATGAGAGGAGGAAAGAGGAACTATGGAGATTATCAGCATGCACCCTTTAAATATGTATATGGAGAAGGAAAACTAAACGTACAGTAAACGACAATGACAATTTAAAAGACATATATCACTATTTTCTATTTATGTTGGTCTAAAAAATGACTTATCAATACCCAGAGCAAGTTGGCCAGAATTGTAGAGAATGCAGGGAAGAGGATGGCTAAGACTAAACCTGCGGTCCCAAGCACAACCTAAAGCCCAGTTAAAGTGGGCCTAGGCACAGATTGCGATTGGATTTGGGCTTTAGGTGCCGTATGGCCGCGGCAACTGGGCTTGAGCACGGTTGCCGCAAACATGGTTGGGCACAGTTGAAAGTGTTGGGCCTGAGCACTGTTGTAAAGCCCAGATGAGGGGGGTCAATGTGGCGGAGGGTGAGGTGTGGTGGGCACGTGGTATTGTGCGTCACATTATGTCTTCCTGCTGCGCCCGCTGTGACGTGCAGTTTCACACACGTCTCTCTCTGCAGTCTCATACTTTCGCATTCTCCCTTGCTTGTGATATACCTTTCATGTAAGCTCCCGGACCTTCTGTTTTCACAGTGTGGTGCTATTCCAAAACACTTCGAACACTCAAGAATTATTTTACTTTTATTTTGTCGCCAAAACACATCAACATTCACTATTCTGCTCCGATTACTCTGCTTATCCACACCACACTTTTAATTCGTTTTTTCTCATTAATTCATTTCTCAGACTCATGTCGTTTACTCTAAGGCGCGCTCCCGTGTCCGGCGTGGGCACACACACACACACACGTTACCCACTAAGCTGCGTCTGTTGCATTTCAACACTATTGCTAGCTACTTCTATTTATCTATTTATTTGTTTTGTTTGTAGGGATGGATGTGTTTCTGCTGCTACTGGACACCTGAGTTTCTCCTACGGGGATCAATAAAGTATCATCTATCTACAGTCACACTCACAAACACACTCTCATTCCCCCAAACTATTGTACTTATTGTGTTTTAAATGGGAAGGGAAGCCAGAGCACCCAGAGGAAACCATGTGTAGGTGTATAAAGGCTCATTTGTCCATAATGCATCACTAAACAAGCACTATGTAAATAAAATATGTGCATATGCTACACACTACTTTTTAAAATGTATTTATAATCCTTTATTATCTACCTTGTTGGATGTGCATGTTTGTGGACAAAAACAGACGAGGTTGGCCCTTTCACCTTTTGGCCTGATTAAGATGTGTATTATTAGTATTGCAGTAAGAATGACATTTCATCTGTGTATTTGTGTATGATTTTCAGTAATGTTTTCTCTGGCAGCACATGGTCAGCAGAGGTGACTCATCGGGCCTGTATAAGAGAGAGGGAGAGTCCCAGAGTGGCCCTGTGATTAGGGCCAATCCCCTGGAGTGGATCAGGTGCAGCTCTCGCCCAGCAACGTGAGACTGCCACCCTTTGTCTGAGGAGAGACACAACCGACATGGGCCAACTGTAAGAGGATCCTCCCTCCAGAAAATATTATCAAAAGGGATTTCACTACAAAGACTACTGTATTACTGTATACTGCAGCCCAGTGCATCCCAAAGTGAGCTCCTGGGCCCCTGGGGGTCAGAAACATCGCAAAAAATCAACAGTTATTGCACCAATACTGCTATTCAAAACTTAAATGTGTTTTGGTCTGAATTTAAAAGGAAAATCATTCAATATTCTTCAGTATAAGTGCACCAATATTGTCCCTGTATGAGAGGCTTTTTAGTCATATATTTTCATGTATTTATTTATTCTTCGGTCAACAACAACAACAACAAAGAAACAATTTCACATTCATTACTCAATTTATATTTTTGACAGGGGTTTTGTTTTAAGTGTGACACTTATTTTGCTTACATCTATTTTTTAGATTTCTATAGATCTGCAAGCAAACTCTGAACTGAAAATAGGATTCAAATACATTAGCATATATTACAGTATACACACACTAAATGACATAAAAAATATCATATATATATGTTTTTGTTGGTAGTTGAACTTCACATCTGACAACACAAGCAAAACTTGTAAGGAATGGACATCAGCCAACGACAACACTAGTCAGACAATTCTGCCAATATCTTTTAGTTTTTCCCGAATTTCTTAGAAGATAATTCAATCCTAAAAAACACAAACTTTTTAGACCATTTTACTAGCCTTTGTCGATGCATTATACCAAACCAATTCTTTTTTATTACCATCGTAAGGAATTTGCTTTGGCTTATGGTGCAAACTAGTTGTAAAAGTTTTTTTTAAAATAAAGATATAATAGACAGCCTTGTTTATTTTAATGTTGACTTCTATAATTGCTGCAGTAAAGACACCAGTATTAGCGAGTGAATTATGGCTGAAGAGTTTGAAATACTCTGCTATTTTGTGGTGATGGATGCAGTGATTAGTGAGCAGCCCTAATAACAGGTTCTGTGCTGGGTGCTTTAGTCGGCTCCTCCTGCTCCTTCAAACACACCTCATACACCCACGGTCAGCACCAACAATAGGCTCCACCCGAATATCAGCAGCGTGACCTCCACCTTCTGCAGCGGGACCAGTGGACAGGCACGGGACAGGCTGTGGTGGAGAGAGGGTGTGTGTGCTTAACAAGGCTGGACGTGTAAAGCCTATTAAGATAATCATATCACGCAGACACAATGATTATAAAGAGCTATGTCCATACAGAGAGCGGCCATGAGAATGAGAATGCTGCTTCCACAGAGACGACTTGGCAACTACAACAACAAATACATTCAACATAGATCAGTGCAAACAACTGATGCTATGTTCCTCTGTTTATTTGTTATTTGTTGTATAAATTGTTGTATATTGATGTGTTTGTGAACACTTTTTGATCTGTATTTGATGCATTTTGATCTGTGATATTTGATTTCTCTTGTGAGGCACTTTAAAGTTCCTTGAGGTTTTTCTATGACCACATTTTTGATTTATTGAATAGGAGAGTAGTGTGAGTGATCTGAATTGTTCAGGCTTTCTGGCTGCGCGGCCTTAATAAATCTTGTTAATGTGACTGTAAGACTCTAAGGGTGCTCCACAAGTAATTTTGATATTTAGAATCATGTGTTGTATGTAATATTTTCATTTTAAATGACATCCACATATTCTATCTGAGTCCCCAGATAACAGGTTCACATATTATGTTTTACCTTTTGTGAGCAACAGTTTAAAGTGGAGATATTCTTAAGTAAAAATGTATGGACATGATGTCCATTGTATTTATGTCTTAATTAGATTATCCTATCAGAGAGCAGAGTTTTTCATTTGGGTTGCCTGTTTGTTAGGTACATTTTAGTTTTTTAAAATAAAAACATTCACAAACAAAACAATATCCCCACGCATTATTTTGTTGGAATGAAAGCAGATCCAAATTCATAGAGTTTCCACTGTTTCTAGCTAAACTCCAGGGTTAGGGTTAGGATTGCATCAGTAATCAGTGCTTAGAAGCCACATATGTCACTGGCCAGTTAGATTCTGGAACCAAAAGTTGAATCGTAATGATTTTAATTGACCACAGAGAGTGCTAATATCACAAACCGTCTCTTAAAGGCTGTTGAAAAATAAGTTGACAAGTTCATGTCTTGGAAGCAGGACGTGCAACTATTAATACGTGATATTTCAAGACACCACTCCTTCTTCTTGCACAACTTCCCTCCTCCCTGCGTGCACACCCAAACACAGGAGTGTAACGGACGGCCTTTCTAACTGCGCTGATGACACTGGGATGAAGCCAGAGCTGAAGTCTGACCCACAGAGACACTTCTCCTGACGCTGCAGCTGCGTCCTCTGCCCCTGTCCTCCGCCATCCTCACGGTGCACTGACTCCTGCCTTGGTGCATGGACTCAGTACGAGCCTGTGTCCTGCTGTGTCCACATCACATACATCTGGCAACCATTAAAGGGGATGTCTTCAACTCCCATTGTATTTCATTATAAAAGAATGTAAATGTTTGTCCATTTGACCATATCTCGTAAAGTAGGTATTTGTATAAAACAATACAAATAATACAGTCCATCATCTTGGCTTAACCACCACAATGAGATTTGCTGGAGAAGAATAGTTGGGTATATGGAAAGAGCCCTCATCTGTGTATCAAGGATTTAAATGATTTGGAAGCAGTTGGGTGAGAATGGGTGGGTCAAACCGGTGCTTGCTTTAAAAAAATCTCTCTTCACATTTCCAAAAGTAGCTAACATTTCCTTTAGTCTTAGAGACAACGTGAGATAAAAAATACTGAAGGTTCCAGTACAATACTCTTTACAATACTGATTGGAGTGATTGGATCTGTAAAGCTTAATATTGTCATACATTATCATGGTTTTGTAGTAACAATACCCTCGATCTCTGTGTGAATGGTGAAATAAAAAATATGTCTTAACACTCCTGGACTGGTTTTGGATTGGTCCTGGACTGGTCCTGGACTGGTTCTGGATTGTTCCTTAACCCGGACTGTTTCTGGATTGGTCCTGGAATGGTTTTGGACTGTTTCTGGATTGGTCCTGGACTGGACCTAATAACTATAATTTATTAATATAATAACTAGGAAAAAACGATATACTAACCTATAAATTACTTACTTCTAATAAATCTCGTGTAAAAGTAATTATGTTTGCAGGGAATTTCACAGAATTCCATTGGGAGAAGTCAAAATGTCAGCTCTGGGAGGACTAGTAGTTTCAGAATCTGGGAGTCCTGGTGTTAAGGATAATTGTGAGTTATTCTGCTGTGACGACTGCTGGCTCGCACACTCTCCTGATGACCAATCGGACCACTACAGTGCGACTGACCCACCTACTTGACTTAATCATCTCGACAGCAGAGACTCTCACCTCTGATTGTGCTTTGGCAAAGAGAGCGAAAGCTGCTGACCCCACAAGTTGTCTGAGTTGCACACATCCATCACCTTCTGTGAATTCCCCTCCATGTTGTCAGTCCTGTGATCTCCACTTAGCCAAACCAGGTCAGGAGATGAAAAGGCCTGACCCGCACTGAAGCCTTTTGAAGCGCTGATGGCTATCGCAGGTGCACCCAAAGTAAACACTGTAAAAGGCTGCTGTACAAAGACGCCCGGAGCACAAAGAGAAGCGTTTGTGGTCCGGGACGCATTCACACAGTGGTTATAAATGGACTTGATGTGTGGGATTATTATAACCTTGTTCAGATGATAGTTTGGAGACCTTTGGTCTTAAGAGAGGGACAGTGTAGATTCCTTCAGTGCAAGAGCTCACACCTTCTAACCACAAAAGATAAAGTAGTCGCACACGCCCAGATATCTGCCTCAGGAGACATGACTGTCAACTGAACAGAAATAATCTAACACTCAATGAGAAAACTTAACAAATCACAATAACAAGTCAGGCTTCTGGTTAGAGCTTGTAAAGACACTGCTTTCATTAAAGCTGGGATACCAAATGTTCTTGTATTTCAATATATTAATACATGTAGTTTGTCCGAACAAAAAGAGTCTTATCGAAGTAACACACAACATCCTGTATTCAGCTTATTACGAAACATGTTAAATGTAAGAAACAGACAACTGATCTAAGAAAAGCTGATCTAAATATAAGGGGCAATAATGAATGCATGTAAATGCAATGAACTGTCTTGAAAGATTAGATATATTTCATTACACTTAAAATTTTGTTGTTTTTGAAAGTAAAAAAATGGTTTGTCTTTTAAATAAATATGTTTGCTGTTTGCTCCGCTGAACATTGTTTTAAAAGTTTTGAAATATATCTCAATCAAGATATAAAAACAGTTTAGTTAAACTATGCTTTGCAGTTTGCGGTGAGTGATGCATGACTTTATTTCACATTTATCATAGTGCACACGGGTTATGTATTCCATAATGGGAACTTAAAAATGAATGCATAAACAACAGAAGCCCATTTTTGCTTCCAAATGACTCGTGATAATTACATGTGTGTCAGGTGCACTTAAGAAAGGAAGCTCCAGATAAACATAAAATGCATTCCCAGAGGTAATCCTTCCTAACGGCGAAGCTTGAATAAACCATTACATAAGTGCCCAGGCACCTCAGGGACCCCCCAGGAGGACTGCATGACATCAGCATGACACCACACATGGGCCCTGAGCTGTTAAAAGAGACAAGTGGAGTAAATGGACTGAATGTGCCCCAAAGGAAAGAGGCTTGTACTCCTGTGGGAACGATTGAGGTCAGGGGCCAATGAAAACATTACACCGCTCTTCAGTTATCGCTTGAGGCGTCACTCGAATGCTCAAGAATACACGATCTGAAATACTACTACTACTATTGATAAGATTAATAATAATGCATTGATTTTATATAGCACTTTCAGGACACTCAAAGACGCTTCGTATGTCATTATTCTTTCACTCCATACACACACACACGCACACACACACACACACACACACACACACACACACACACACACACACACACACACTAGACAATTACTACTAGCACTATTACTACTACTACTGGTAATAATAATAATAGCAATGATAATAATGTGAAAATACTTATACAATGCCAAGTTAAGAAACACCAAAAGTGGTCACACCACAGCAGCAAGTCAAGCATTTAACTGTTGTGTCTAAAAATACAAGCCTTTTGATTTGATTTATTTGATTTTGAACATTTAAAATCAAATCACCAAAATGCAAACCGTATTCTGAACTGAAATAACTAACATATTGAATAAATTACTTTAAATTTCTCTGCCCAATGGACCTCCTGCTGAAAGAGACTTGCAGCTATTTTAACTAACCACCTGTTAAATACAAGAACAAAACAGTTAGCATTTTTGATGACGCTCCTTTAAGATTAACTCTGAGGAACAACTTGGCAGTGGGTGAATCCCCGCCTCACCAGTGTAAATCAGCAGAACAAAGACTTATCTGTTCCACTGCCACCAATTCATGTCCTGCCGCGCTAACAAACTTTTAAACAGCCGCTGACATAATGAGAAGCTGTTTGCCCCAGTGCCCCCACCAGACTAACATCAACCCTCTCTGTGACCCTACAGCTTGTCAAGAAGATGAAGATCAGAGACTGGGGTTAAAAAAAAACAAAAAAAAACAGCATTCCTTTTCCCGTAAGCCAGGAAGGGGGGTGGAGGGGGATTTTGGGAAATTTCCTGACTCATCACTTTCTTTTGCACCGGCGCGGGCCCTCTGGCATGGCACTGTAGACTTGAGTACCTCCACGGCTGATCTCCCAGTGGTGTTTCAATGGGCCCCGTTCACGTTTGACAGACGCCTCTCAGTGAGCTGCAGAGAGGGTGAGCTGCAGCTGTCCAGGCATCTGTCAGCAGGCTTTGTGCGGTGAGAAACCTCAGGAGATAATCAGACACAAGCCCCACTGTAAACATGCACTGGCAAGAGCGGGCGGATCGACTGTCACAAAGGCAAGTGTGTGTTTGTGAAGATCAAGATTGAGTTAGAGATATATGAACAAGTCTTTTTGTTTGAATGCTCACACCACAATTGCAACACAATCTCTAGTGCATCTACACTGTAAACAAAATATAAAATATGAGGTAATAATTGCTTGAATTAAGTGTTTTTTTTCTTTCTTAATCTGACAGAGTTAAAACATGGGACAAAGCCATTTGGTCTTGTTTCAAGAATGATGTCTCCATTAGAATGATTCTCATTCTAATGGAGACATTTTTTATGTCTTTTTAAAACAAGATCATTTTGCTTGTCCCATTGGCGAATCTTGTTTAAAGGCAGTCAAAATGTTCTCAAAATAAGATACATTTAGCCAAATTAGAGCCATTTCTGACTTATTTTAGCATTAGGTTGCAAAAACAAGTCAGAAATTATTAAGTTGATAAACATACATTTTTTTAAACTTCTATTTTGTTTAAGTTCTGTATGAACTTTTCAACTCCAAAAAGGGGTAGTAGCCATAGACGTATAGTAGGTGTGGACTGGCCGAGTCCTAATGTCACTCAATGTTTGCTGAATAAGAAAAATAAGCTGATTTGAACATAAGCTAGCTGGAGCCAATTTCCTTATACAGTATGGGCGTTTATTCAGACGCTGTTTATTTTGTGTCTTAACAGTGTTGCTAACATAATTGTTTAGGCAAGCTAAAGTTTCCTCTGTGAATGAAGGGATCTGATCAATCCCTGGTCAATCCTTATATGGCTCATATCTGATTTACAAAGACAATTAAAAAATCTAAATGGATAAAACATGGATTTTTTAAGCCCAAAAAGCTGAGTGTGACACAAACGGCAAGAGATTCACTTTTCAATGTAAGTCAATAGGAGCCAGAGTGAGTTGGAGATGAACTTTGAGCACTTCCCTCATGGGTGAGGTTGTGATCTAAAGTGAATATGTTAAAAATAACAAATATACTATTGCTGTTATCTTCAATCAAGACACGTTTCTATGATGTGTAATGATGCGACTGAATAAAAGTGAATGCACGTGCAGTGAGCAGGAGCTTCAAACACTTAGAGAGGTGACTCAGTGAAATTGTTCTACTATCGTGGGTCACAACTTCGTCGACTGCTGACGAATGCTTGTAAAACTAGACTCTGCTCAAATTTAGCACTTTTTATTGCAACCTTAGAGCACACATAATGGAAAGTGTTTAACTTCTCAACCACAACTTTTACAACTCAGTCTTTTTTCCTCTTTTCTCCATAGTATCACCATTCTGAGCCTACTCGTTGTAGTAACTGACATCAACATAAGGCTGCGGTTAAGGGACTCTCCATAGCGGGCCCCAACCTGCTCCACAATAACACCCTTAAACCGTCCATTAGGGGCCTTTTACACTGCTTTCCACAGTTAAGCCCGACACATGGGGTTGTTTATCACTGTAATGACAGACCCAACAAAGGATGATGTCACCACACCGCTCCACACAACTGCCCACTCTGCTCAGGACCACATGTGATTGAGAGGTCTCGGTCTCAGAGACTTTCTTTGTGTGGCTGTGGCCCGAGTGTTGTGCGCCCGTGCTGCTGCCGCGGTGAGTAACAGTGACTAATCAAAACAGTTGTAGAAAACAGGCTCCTGCCCAACGTGGCTATACGCGATTTTACAGTAGATTCAACAGATTATCCAATGTAATAACAACTGCTCCCACAAAAAAAAACAAAAAAAAAACAATTGTGCGTGTCAATAATAAAAGAAGGGTTAAGGACGTGTGAAGAAATGAAGACAGAGGCAGCAGCGATCGTCTGGGAAGGTGGACTTTCACAAGGACTGTTTTGACTGCTTTTATTGCGGGTTTCGTGTGTGTATTTATTTAGTTTTATGCATGCATTCACCTTTCCTTGGATACTTCCCTGATTACCCACACCTGTTTTAATCAAGACAATAAATTGGGGGCGGGCACCAGAAGAAGAGGAGAAAGACCAGACAAGAGGTCAGAGAGAGGGGCCGGAGAGGACGGGCGGTCCAAAGAAGCCCGGAGCTGTGGCTGCTTGCGGCGTCTGAGGCGTTGAAACGGAACACGAAACACAAAAAGGAACACAGAACAAAACACGATACGGTACACGCAACGGAACACAAAACGGAACATGAAACAGCACACGCAACGGAACATAAAACACAAAACAAAACGGAACACGCAACGGAACACGCAACGGAACAGGCAACGGAACACAAAACAAAACGGAACACGCAACGGAACACGCAACGGAACACAAAACACAAAACAAAACGGAACACGCAACGGAACACGCAACGAAACACGCAACGGAACACAAAACACAAAACAAAACGGAACACGCAACGGAACACAAAATGGAACATGAAACGGAACACGGAACAAAACACGCAACAGAACACAAAACACTAAACGGAACACAAAACTGAACACGCAACGGAACACAAAACAAAACACGCAATGTAACACAAAACACAAAATAAAACATGCAACGGAGCAGAACATGAAACGGAACATGAAACGGA